ACCGATGTTGTTGTATGACCGCCCGATATCAGGATGATTTGAAGGAAGAGTTTTTTGCCAAATTTTAAGTGCTTTTTCGTAGAATGAAAGTGCTTTCGAGTACTCTGCCATCTTGTCATACGCACTACCTATATTACTGTATGAAGTAGCCAAATCAGGATGATTTGAAGGAAGAGTTTTTTCTCGAATTTCAAGTGCTTTTTCATAAAATGAAAGTGCTTTTGAATATTCTCCCAACTTGTTATACGCATAACCGATATTATTGTACGAAGCAGCCAATAAAGGGTGAATTGAATGAAGAGTATTTTGACAAATTGTTACGTCTTTTTCGTAGTATAAAAGTGCTTTTGAGTACTCTCCCATCTGGTTATACACACTACCTATGTTATTGTATGAAGTAGCCAAATCAGGATGATTTGAAGGAAGAGTTTTTTCGTGAATTTCAAGTGCTTTTTCATAAAATGAAAGCGCTTTTGAATATTCTCCAAACTTGTTATACGCATAACCGATATTACTGTATGAAGTAGCCAAATCAGGATGATTTGAAGGAAGAGTTTTTTCTCGAATTTCAAGTGCTTTTTCATAAAATGAAAGTGCTTTTGAGTACTCTCCCATCTGGTTATACACACTACCTGTGTTATTGTATGAAGTAGCCAAATTGGGATGATTTGAAGGAAGAGTTTTTTCGTGAATTTCAAGTGCTTTTTTATAAAATGAAAGTGCTTTTGAGTACTCCCCCATGCTCGCATACACACTACCGATGTTGTTGTATGAACTAGCTGAATTAGGATGATATAAAGGCCGAGTTTTTTCTCGAGTTTCAAGTAGTTGTTTGTGATACGAAATTGCCTTTTCATAATTACCTTGGTTCAAATAGACCATTCCCAGTTGGCTATAATAATACAGCTTTTCATCCTCATTAGGTGTCTGTTCGAGTAATACATTATAAAGCTCTTCAGCTTTATTAAATTGACCGATTTTAAGCAATAGGAGACCCAATCTCTGCCATCCAGTGCCACTAACTTCTTCGCGTATCCGATCAGTAAGTAATCGTAATTGTGGATCCTCGTCCGATGTTAAATGTACTTCAATTTGATAAAGTTGATTATTATAGTGCATTTGCTTAATTTCAAGTACTCGGAACACCGTGTGCATTGAGAAGAGAATTTCATCTTCTTCCTTAAAATAACTCTTCTCTTTGATGGAGGCAAATGGTGTTGATTTTACATAAGGATCGATGAACATTATAAAAAGAATGCCAACCATGTCCACGTTTTCTGACGCACTATACGCAAGTCCGATAGCTATGTCTTGCTTGGTACTCGTGGATACAAAGCTATTGAATGATATTAAACCAGCCTCTGTTTTTTTGAGTTTTTCAAAATTTGCTGTGGATAAGCCTTGTCCCCGATACACTATGAATGGTTCGCCATGATAACTATGAACCTGTTGTTGGTGTAGTTGTTGGATTTGTTGGTGAAGGTCATGGATGAAGAAACCCATATTAATAATAGTATCACTTTCCATAGAGCGAAGTGCATAATTGAGTATTGAATAGATATTGGATGGGAAAGTATACCACCAAATAGCAGATTGAGCATGGTATTCTTTCTCAAAATGGTCAATATTTGTTGGCGACAAACAGTCATTATGTCGACAATAAGTAGTAAATCGTTTGATGGCTTGTTTACCATGTTCCATATCGAGAAGAATATCCTTAAATATTTGGGTGTACATAAAAGTAGGTTCCAGCTGATTTAAATCACCCGTTGAAGTAATTGCACTTGCAGTGAGAAAACTCATAGGAATTGAGTCTTGATTGGACTGCTTGCTACGGATTTGTAATTTTTGGCACAGATCATCGATGTTGCTATGAATGCTCTTGACTTTGTCGCATTTTTGTACCCATTGTTCATGTAGGATTTCAGTATCATTTAAGACATAAACACCATCCAACTGAGGAATATCATTGATGAGGAGCATGATTTGTTGAAACATAGTATCCTTGACAATGAGAAAAGACTTGATGTCTTCTTGAGCATCTGTAAGAAAGTCGATGCATGCATCTCGTTCTGTAAAAACATTGACATCACCAGTAACAGTTCGTATTTGTTTTAATGTATTTTCATAATCTTCGTTTATTTGTTCTATGCTGCCGTCTACCCATAGGAAAAGGCAGCTGTGTATCATACGTTGTCGTCGTTGACGAACATGAGACGATTTTCCGCTCTGTTTTGAAGGTTTCAAATCCATGATACGTATATGTTGATAATTGTATGTGGTTGAAGAGCTGATTAATAAATGGTTAAGAAAACAAACGAATATCGCTGTTTATATGAGAATCAGGTGTCCTTATCTCAATATTTTGATGGCGTCATTGATTATCTCCTTTTATTTATTATGAGTAATTACAACAGAACTTTGTCCTTTGTATCATTTCATGCGAACTATAGAGCCAGGTGAGTAGAAAGAACAGAAAAAAAGAATTAATTTTTTCCAACTTTCTTGGCAGATAAGAGATAATATCGTCACCAACAGAAAAAAGACACATTTTCTCTGTAAATAAAACACGTTAAAAGTCTCGCAACATTCTCTTTTGTGTTGGAATCATATATAAAAAGTACGTAAGGATACAAATTAAATGATCGTGTTTTTTTTGTGAACCATCAATAAATATCTGTTCAATTTTCTACACATATTAACAGTAAAATGAGCAAATAATAATTAATATTAAACTCATTGTTCATTAAATTAACAATTTATTCAATATTAAAGTTATAATGTTGACTAGCAGAAGTACCCGCTGTTACCAGAAAAATTAAGGTTATGAATGTCAGTAAGATATATTATCGATCTCAGTATTGTAAAAACTTTTGGTTTTTATCTCACTTCGTTGTCGCATGAATGAAAAAACAATTGCATGCTCCAAATTTTTGGATGGAACACTTACTGTAGCGCTCCAACTACGAGTTTATTAATCAGAGCTCTAGATAGGTCTGCCTGTTGTAGCCTGTGTAATTTATTTTACACAGTAATATTAGAATAACAATTCGGTAGAAGAAGAAAATTATTTCTAGAAGAAAACAAGCAAAACATAATGAAACAAAAACTACTTGATTTAATAAATTATGAAAGTGATGAATAAAAATTAAAACAACTATTATCATTCAGCAACAACTTTGATCTGGGAAGAAACTATTTTGAATATTGATTAATGAGTTGAATAGGACATATCAAATGCAATTATATGATAAGAGTAAACTTATCGACTAGGAATGTAGATGTGTGTATGAGTTTGGATGTGGGTGTAGGTAGGGGGTAAGTGTGGATCTGGGCGCGTTTGAGTGTGTATATAATAATCATACATTAGTGATATCGATGCCCACACTAGGGGTCAACGAGACCGGGTTTTTTTGTTCCGATCCCGCTTTCGAACGAGAAACCCGTCTCTGTCGAGTTTAAACCCAATTTTTCTGAATTTGCCAGAAATAGTTTTTAAACACATGTCGAATGAGACATCACTCAATAGCATTTGGTTCTCTTCTTTCCGTTCATTTGACCTACATCTGAATATTTTTATTCCAGTTTGACAAAAGGAAAAAAACGGGTTTCATTAAGCTGTTTCCTATCGCCTTTCCAGTTGTCGAGTATATAAGTGTTCGCATTTTCTTGAAATAACAGCCGGTTTCTACGTCAGAAAATTAGATTCCAAATACACATTCACTTGTGCGCAAAGTATTAGCCATAACGGCTTCGAACACCACAAAAGAAAGACTGCTTTCATGTTCAAAGATGGTAGCGACAGATAACCCGACTCGACTTAATGCAGACAAAACTAATAAGCTCATTTTTCTTCGCAAAAACATTCAGTCATTAAAACAATTATATGAAATAGAAGGAAATAGTCGAAAATGAAAGTCAGTCGATGAATATGAGTCTAACAGCCAACATGAAGGTGAACAACAGACACCTGCTACATCGAAGAAGTATCGAATCAAAAATAATAACACCGTATCAAGTGAAGATGAACTGAAAGAGTGATCAAAACTTGTTATCTCTTCAATCTTACTTATTTATCTCTTACGAACATTGTTTTTCTTGACATGTATACTCATTTTTTTATATTTTATTTTTACGGAAGATTATATTGAATTTTTGATTAAACAGCAAGTTCTATTTCGATATGAAGTAATTATATCCCTGAAAAGCCAATTTTTTTTGTAATCTCAACAACAAAACTTAATTTCAATCCTTTGTCTAATATATTGTTAGTAAATGAATTTATTGTATTTATTCCCCAGCTCGTAGAATGGAAAATAAATTCATAATATTTCAATGCAAAAAAGAACACAATCGATAGTTAGAAGAGCGTTTTTAAAACAACATAGACTGCATACTCTAAAAATTTGATGCAGTTTATGATAGCACTATTTTTTAAAGGATATGATCTGTCACTGCTCCTATTTATATTTTATTCAGCTATATCCTCTAATAAAAGTCTTTCCTCCTCTTTGTTTCTATACTACCCTAATTCGCATCAAGTTTATTATCTAGTAAAGATATGACATAAGAGTTTTATTTCAGTGTAATCTATACAACATATCGAAATAAAACTCTCAAGACATATCTTTATTTGGTAATGGATTTGATGCAAAGTATGAGAGCATAGAAACAAAGAGGAGAAAAGACTTTTGCCCTAGGATATAAATAGCTAAAAAAAGAAGAGTGAGGGTGAGTTTCATAGATAGATTTCAAGCTTCTTAAGGCGATCGTTTCGACTAGAGGGTGTGGATATGGGTATGGGTGTAAGTTAGAATGTGCGCATGGTTAGCTGTGTTTCCTTTATACACCTAAATCTACACCCACACTCACACGATATTAGTTTACTGTATTATCAAGGACATTTAGAGACGGCATATATGAAGAGGACTTCAGAAAATTCGAAACATCGTGAATGTCGTCAACAAGAAGACTCAAAAATAGACTCACAATCTGCCAATGAAACCGTTTCAGAAGATTCTTTAGTCGATGATCAACCAGTAAATGAAACTGTTCAAGGGAACTATGAAATCGACCAGCAATTAGCCAATAGAATCGTTGATAAAGTTACTAACCTTCTTACAGGAGACAAAATGCCAAGTGAAAATGGTGTTATTGCTATTGGAACAATGAAATATGGGACAAAGATTTTTGCTTATTCTGGCGCGGCAAAGCATAGATTTGTTGCTGGTTCCGTTGAGACGGATGATACTATAACGATCGTCCTTGGGAAAGCTCCGAATGTTAAACTTAAACTCGATGAACTGGTGTTATATGAGCATATCACAAAGAACTTAGGTTACACTATAGAAGATGTACAAACACTAGGAGGAATGCAAAATGAGCGAGGCCAGAAGTTTCCTCGTAATCCTGCAACCTGTGCAGAACCGAGAGTTATGGTCATAGCCTTTGGTCGTGGGTATACGAAAGATGATTTTGTATCAATCATGGCATTTCGAAGAGAGCCACTTGGAGTTGTTCCTGAACCTCCTTGCGGTAATTGTCAAGTAACTCTCAATATGCTATTCCAGAAATGATATTAATACACAATCTACTGGAGAAGTAGCTGATTATATAGTCTTAGAATCTTCACAATCTTAGGATTAGCTGTTTTCTATTTTACAAACTCTACCTTTAATAAAACTTTTCAATATCAATTTGATTATGTAATTTTCTCAATACAATTTCAAATTTAATAACTTCATTATATTGATGTTAATGAATTATGAAATACATTTAAATAAACATAAACGCAAACTAAGAATTAGATCAAATTCAAACAAGTATATTAAAATAAAATGGAATTCAATGCGCATTGTCAGTTACGAAATGTGCGGTTATTTGTTCAGGTCCGATACGATTTTGTCGAAATCGATTTATATAAATATCATATAAAACATATTTTGCTTGTCGACGAAATCGTCTTGATACACAGATGTATGTGTAAAATGAACTCTAAAATACATTCAAAAACAACTTGATTTATTTATTTTTAAACAAAATATTTTACCCCATTTGTCAGAATATTAATGGTGAGTGTAATAGCATTGATGAGATTGAGTTGAGCAAGAACAACAGGATTACGATTTGTATTCAGTTGTAAAAATCCACTTGTAATTGAATAAGGTAAATAAGTACAAACATAAACACAGATTTCGACAAGAACCATCACTGTCAATTGTTTATCTAATTCATGTCGAATAAGTGGATGTGTTCGTGTTGTTAATGTTCGTGCATTTCGATAAGACATTATGCCAAATATAACAGCAATTAATGGAAAAAGATTACTCAATGTAAGGAAATATCCGTAAACATGATATCGAAGAAAAATCGGATTGATTGGAATACAAACAGCTGTATTTATTGGTGATATTTGTCGGAAATATATCATATATAATACACCATGTGATGTCCAAAAAATTGAAACAATTATTGTCAAACGGTAAGCTAATTTAATATCTGACCATTTTTGCCATCGTTGACGTGTGCAAGTAGCAAAATATTGATCAATTATTGCTAAACATAACATTGTTATGGCACTGATAACACATGTTGCAACAATAAGATTTCTTATTTGACAATAATAAATTAAAACAGATGTCCAATTGATTGAAAATGCTATTGAAATAACAACAACTGAAGTACTGAATACTAATCGAATTAAATTAAATACGGACATAATGAGAAGATAAAATGCACATGAACTTTGTCGAAAAGTTTTAAGACTAAGAAAAACAATGATACTGAATAATTCACTAAGAAGACAAATGAACCAGATTGGAATTGAAACATAACGAGCAAATTGTATTCTTGCATTGTAAAGTGATGCGATATATTCTGCACTCATTTTGATGAATGTGAATGAGAAAAAAAAATTTTGTACTTTAAGACACAGACAAAGACTGTTGACGTTATCTTTTTTTAGAAATAATTTTCAAAAGTAATAGGAAATTAATTTTCTTTTTAAATACACTCAAAACAACTCACTACGATGTGTCAGATCAAAAGAACGCATTCATTCAAATTAAAGCTGACAAAATTCTCATTAATCAAAAGAAAATAACTATATTAGATAATTAGCTTTTCTTTCTTTGTGTGCAGTTTAAAGTTTTTTTTCTCTTTTCAATATGAATATACTCTCCAGATCAAGAAAACCATTCCAAACGTACACCTCAGCACCCTCATATTTCGTTTTTGGCTGTTTACTTCTAAATGACCCATCCAGGTGTCCTGATGAAACGAAAATGGATGAAAGGATAAATGTATTTTTTCAGTTTTTTTTGAAAATTCAAAATGTTGTGCAATTCGAACAATTCACACCAAAAT